TTTCTACTGTAAAACATATGATTCTCTTCACCAGTTGCAGGTCAGAATATGGGCCGCAAGACTCAATTACAACATCAAACTATCTACGATAAACGCACCCACACACTCAAACAAACCCAGATCTGAGTGCCACCTAAAACCAAGGAATTTGACAGACCTATGCAAGCTTTTCTTCATAGTGGATCAACATATATTACTGATTATTAAGATGATTTGCAAAACATTTCAAGCAAAACGAAATGCATTCATAAATGGTTTCAGAAACTGAATGTAAATATTTGCGAACCCTCAAGTAAACACATATGGTTCAGAGCAATGAAGTGAGCAATCCGGCTGCCCACTTTTGTCTGAACTAAAGCTCAGATCCAAAAGCTGTTCATGCCCAGTGAATCCTCACTGGATCAAAACAACTGAAGAAGGAACAACCTGACATACAGTAACAAAAACGGGAGCTCCAAAAGTCTGAGCATTGTAAAATGCTTCTAGCTTTTTTCCTCATTTAGTACAGTTTTCCATTTAATATTATATTATATAATAAGTATAACAAGTTCACATGGTCTGTCACAAATTTGTTTATTTGATCAGTGACAAAATAGTGCAAAATCTTTACAAAAAAAGTCTTATTTAAATGTTTTCACATTTTCTTTATTTGATTTTTTCAAATCTTTGTTTAATTTTAATGTAGATTTTGAATCCTTGATGTTCAGTGTGACATTTTTTTTTCACGTAAATAAACCAGATCTGCATCTAAAAAGTCTTTGTTAATTAAGTTTAAACATTCACTACACCCTGGTGAAAGCACATAAATAACTGAGGAAATACAATAATACAAGATATCAAATCTAGGCTACATTACAGTATCCATGTCACATATATTGTTATAATGTTAATATTGTTATATTATTGAATACAATAACTGCACAAAATGAAAACAATGCTATTACTACTGCAAAACTTCAGGGTGCTCCACACATTCCATATATTTACTTCATTATTAATAATTAAATAATAAAAAAAATCCTGTCACAACTTACCCTGTTTAGACACAGGAGGAGGATGCGATTGTTGCCATGCAGAATACAAAATCATCCAATTTCCTGGAGGTAAAATATAGTATCATTGATGGTTGATAGTGATGATCTGTGTCAGAAGTAGATGTGTCTCAAAAGCGCGTGAGCTGCCCAAGTAAACCACATTTTTTCAATATTTACGTCATGCGCAGAATTTCAGTGTAGAGCAGTGATGCCCACAAATGCCGTCAAGATAGACAGCACACTCGGTTTTGAGCACAGCCACTATTACATTGTTGTTCAACGCAGACATCTATCTCCATTACAGCTACATGTAAATTACATTTATTCTGCTTCGTGAACCAAGAACGCCGATGGCAAACATTTAGACAACATAAAATATTTGTAATTATGCAAGGGACAATTTGAAGCCAAATCTGTTGTGTTGTGTTTGTTATCAACAACAGACAAACAAACACAATCTGTGCTGGTGGTCTGGCCTTCCTCACGGCTTCTTCGTCAATTTTAGGCGGTTTCACAAAAGCGCACTGGAATGGAAACACGATTACATTTCACACCGTAAATGCAAAAAAACACCATACCTTGTGTGTTTGTGTTTAGGAGTTTATATATTCATATCTTTATCCAAGCTTCGTAGCTCAATTCTATTTTCACTTCATTGGTCTTCCGTCTCCTCTCATCGACTGACAGAAAAAGACGGCCGCTGAGGATGGCACAGCTCCGCCCTTGACGACCAATCAGAGCGCAGATATTTACCGAAGGAGAGAAATGGAGATCGTTGATTGGCTGAGACACAAGCCCGTCTGTTTCCTTCCATCCATTAGGTTCTGGAGCGATTGAAAGGATGCTGCTGGAGACTGACAGGTGCACAATTGCAAACAAGCCAGACGAAAGGCACCAAAATGTGACATTTTAATAGAGTCTACCTTTAAAAGAGCACAATTTCATTAAAACCGCAAATTGGATTTTCTCATCAAGTCGCTGACAATGCATTTTGAAAAAAAAATTTGTAATTTAATTGTGTAGTACAAATGGTACAGAATTGATTATTAGAATGTTCACAAAAATGTATAAACTACCAATCGAAAGTTTGGAGTAAGTACGATTTTTTAAAATCTCTTATGCTCACCGAGGCTGCATTTATTTAATCAAAAATTCAAAACTGTAATATTGTGAAATATGATTATGCTGAATTTGAATACGCTGTTTTGCTGCTCAGTTATTATAAATTACTATTGTTTCTCAATTATCAATAATGGTTTTTATTATTATCAATAATGAAAACATATTACAATGTAGGGCTGTAGCTATTGATTATTTTAGTAATCGAGTATTCTACAGATTATTCCATAGATTAATCGAGTAATTGGATAAGAAGTTATTTTTCTTTATGAAAGAGCAATATAAAATATGCAAGAGATAATAAGACAGATCTCTTAAAATAAACAACTAATTTGTTTTCTTTTTAGAAAAATGAAAATTTTTATTGCTGAAATTGCATACATTAATAACCGTGAAAACTAAACCCATTTAATGTATTTAATTGCCAAATTGCATTCAAAATGCAAATACAAATATATCAATAAAAAATAAAATAAATAAATAAAAATACAAAAATCAATTTCACATTACTTTAAAAAAGGTAAACAGTACAAACTAAAACTAAGGCATAAATCAAAATAACAGTAATAAAAAAAATAATAATAATAATACCTAAACATTGCATTTATGTCGTGCAACTTAACTTTCAAGTTTCAGCCTAAATAAAGCTCAAGCATGACATAAGCCTTTACTGTCTTCTTGGAAGGCTTTGTGGCTTTTGTGAGAGGCAAAAATCAGTGGACAGGAAGGTAACTTGGAACAAGAACTAGAGACCATACACAATTTTTAAACACATTTTTCTGCAACATGAAATGGAAATTGAGTTATTTGGAGAATAAACCCTCTTAAATGTCCCCATACGTACTGGTGTGTGTGTGTGTGTGTGTGTGTGTGTGTGTGAATATTACCTTCTTGTTTATTGAACTGTTGAATAAAATCACATTTGTAACCATGCTGATTTTAGAGGTGAAAACTGGCACTCTTCGTGTGATATTGACTAACTTTCTTTCTGTGGTATTTTTATGCACAATGGCGTTTAGTCTTTCACAAAACATAGCTAACGTAGGGACATTATAACTAGCCACCATATTGATTTACGGTCTTAAATATGTCCAGCGCTTTTCTTTCTTTTTTTTTAAGTCTGGTCCCTGTTTTTATACAGTCTATCTATGGTCTGGTCCAGCATTTATTGGTTTGTGCGTCAGTAATAATGGTCCGTGGGGAAACACTGTGTTCCGTGTGTAGTTACAGTAAATGGACTAAACGAAGCGTAAATAATTTGCCTCGATGATTTTTTTGTATTCGAGTTACTCAAGGTATTCGAGGAATCGTTTCAGCCCTATTACAATGTCATGTGCAAATTGTAATAAGTCTTGAGGAGCATTAGAGACGTCTTTCAAAAACATTTTTAAAAACTTTTGACCAGTAGTGTAACCTGTGTTGTGTGTGATATACGTTATGTACAATTGCACAAACACAAAAATGTGAGCAAGATCACTCATCCATGGTGTGTATTGTCTTTTATGATAAATTATAAACAATCAACAAGCTTGCTAAGAGTAAAGAAAAACTCTGCGTCATACAGTGATTGAAGTACAAGGAAATCCTTGGCTTGCTAGTGTCACTGTAGATGGACGTCTTCAGATTGTCAATTTTATATTGTTTGACAAATTCCATAAGCATTCAAACTATTAACATATTTACATCTGACTTTGAATATTTATTCACATATCTTGAGACGGGTAGAAAAAAAGCCAACTTATAAATAGTCAACACGAGTATAAAAAATAAAATGCTTTAGCATTGTTGTAAAAAATGACAAAGAAAACAAACAAACAATGTAACTGTATTATCTTACATGGCTGAATGATATGCACCTCTTTATCTTGATTGCATGATTCTGTTCAGTCAGGAACCATTTACTTTGTTGACCAAGACAACTCTGAGGCATTCTCTTTAATGTGTCTTTTCTGTGAAATGGCAGAGCAAGCATTAAAAAACCCTTTGCTGTACATTATCAATAACTTCTCAAATTCAATCTCAAAACCACATATCGAAACATTTCCATAAAAATAAAAAAATTGTCATTCATGTGCTGTAAAGTTCCTTTGATATGTGCTCTGCAGTAAATACTGACAGTCTTCTACTGCGCTTTGTAGTCATTGATTTTCTTCTTTAAAAGCTTTTGAGACACACAACAAGCCCAGCTCAGGGGCTGTGAGCCAGACATGGTGTTTAGGGGGGAAATGGACGCTGGAGGGGTCCGAGGCTCTTATCTAGCTAAAGTGATGAAAAGAGCTTCTCCTAATGGAGAAAACAGTGAAGCTAGAGTCACTTGTCTAAAAAGAGCACTCCATATTGGAACCCAAACAGCAAGAATCACAGTACCATCCTTTCACATAAATTGTTCCAGGAAAGACTGTTATTCTCCAGTCTTATCTCCAGATAATGATTATGATAGGCCTAACTATGATACCTTTCACTCACTGGCTCTTTCACCCATATTCCGTGGGGAAACACTGTGTTACGTGTGTAGTTACAGTAAATGGACTAAACGAAACCTTGAGGCAAATTATTTGCCTCGATGATTTTTTTGTAATCGAGTTACTCAAGGTATTCGAGGAATCGTTTCAG